TACTATAAGATATCTAATAGAATTTAATTCGATTGAATGTTTTAAGAGTTAAAATTCCCTCAAGATATCTCGAAGAAGGTTTCTAGATATTTTAAAGAAAAAGTGGGCACAATTTTATTAGTAGATCACAAGAGTGCTTTGAGAAACTATCTGTAGGTAATGTTAAGAGTGATTCTTATCTTTTTTCTCAAGTAAGTCTTCTAGAATGCTACAAGACCATTTGTAGAATGTAGACACTTTTTATTTAGTCTTGTAGACAGTTTTTAGATAATTTATAGTCTATGATAGTTTTATTTGTAATACTATTTTAAAACCAAAATACTAAAGCGTTACAAACATAAGACGCAATTCTCTTAATACTAATATATTTCAAGTTTAATGGCTTACAAAATATAAACTATTAAAATTGCAACATGGCGAAATGAGATATAATGTTTTTGACTTTTTCGCGCAATGTTTAATCGGTTAAAAAGCGAGAATTGACGTGCGACTTTAAATACATCGTGAAAAGTGATGTAAAACCTGTCATAAAAGTAATGCGCTCGCTAAATTTTAAATATTTATGTATAAAATATAAACTTAATAAAAATACAGTTATCGATTTTCGGTTTTAAATATATATAGAAAGCTTACATATATAAATAACTCACAAAACAAACCATTTCCAAGATGTTTTAGGCTTCTTCAAGCTAATTTCAACTTAGATTTACTTTTTAAAAAGAAAAGAAATATCTCTCGGCTACTTCATAGTCATTCTTTAAAAATAATAAAAATGACGATAAGTATTTAAAGCTTTTTCAAAACACTTAGGAGCATTTTGTCTATAGCTTTATCTATAGAAAAACTTTAGAATACGAAAAGATTATTTTTACTTGTTTTATGTAGTTGATCTTGTAGAAGAATATTCACTCCTATGAAGCTTTTGTGATTGTCTACAAAACGCGATGTTTCTAAGCGATTTCTTCTTTTGACAGTATTACAAAACCTTTATAAAAGTTATAGTTATAGACTAGTGAGCGTATTATGCAATAAAAAACTTCTCAAAACACTAGATAAAAAAAAAAATATAAAAGCCAATTTGTCGCAAGATCACGTTAATCTGTATAATTATATGGAATGTGTATGACTAGAAGAGTGGATAAATTCCCTATCATGTAAATATAAGGAATATTTTAATGACATACCTAACTTATGTTGGTAGAAATAAAATTTTCATTACAAAATTGAGGTTATTTCTTCACGCCAACCACATTTCACACAATGATTTCACTGTATTCTATTGACAGACGGCATAATACACTTACACAACATTGCTCATTTCAGTTATTTTTATCCATCGAGTATATAACCAGAAATAGAGACGAAATGTCATTAAATTTGTTTGAAAACTATTCTGCCATATCATTACTGTGACAACTGCGCTCCGATTGGCCAGCCCGAGATCGAAACAATTAACGGGTGTCGTCAATGGGTGTCGTCAACTGTTTCACTTCAAATCGACCAATTAACTTGAGCTTTGCTATAATGGACGAAAATTGCAAAATGACGTATTTAATATTTAATTACCGATGAAATGTGATTCCGTTTGTTTTGTAATTAGATTGTTGCTGTTTTTCCCACACCACCGAATAGAACGGCATTGTTAGAGATATTATCTTTATTATAATAAATACATAATATTTTTTGGAATATACGGAGATGTACACTCAGTAGTTGTAGTCAGTAGTTGGCCTGTCTATATTTCAGTGCAAACAGGAGTTGATATTTATAAGAGCTGTATTGCTAATGTGTTACCAGGAATATATGGCCCTTATTTCGTCTCTATTTCTGGTTATATACCCGATGTTTTTATCACTTATTTATCAACATACAAATGCCGGCCATGACCGGCCCGAGCGTGAATTACGACTATTGTATCCAACGTTGCTAATTTGTGGGTAATTCCCCAAATTGTGGAGAGTTTCAACTAGATTGGAGATTTTGTGGGGATTGGCGCTATGTGAGGAAAATGTGGGATTTTAACATTGTATAATTTTGTTTAATCTATCAGTTGCTGATGCATCGCTAGTTTGATCGTTACTGTTAGAAACACTGTGATGGACTATATCGACGTGTTTTTCAACATCGCACATCCCTCGTATTATTAACAAGTAGCTTAAACTGAATTATTATTAGAGCACTTGGTTCTGAATTGTAAAATTACCAGTCGGTGCGTGTTGAGTTCGATATTCTTTCTCCCACTTAGGCCGGTCCCCGGTATGATGCAAAACGAAATCAGCTATTGATAAACAAAGCCGAGCAGTTGGTACTTGCACACCACAACTTACCACTCGTCAACTTTAAATATTAAATATAGGTCGAAACTCATTGATTCTTTGTAACATTAACATAGTGTCACCAAATGCACACAAATAATGAATTTCCTTAATTTTGTAAGCCAAAGAAAAATGATTTTTCCCAGGTTCGATTACCGGGTCGGGAGAAATATTTGTATGGACTACATTTGTTTATCTCGTGAGTTTGGGTGTAATTTGTGGTTGTCTACGTGTGTGTCCATGGCACCCGCGACAGAGAATTTCCCTAGTGCGGGGCTATGTTGAGTGTTTACGTTATTATTATTATTATTATTAAAATAATTAAACGATTTAAGGTTATCTAATTTTATAATTAGTTTTACTTTTTACATTCTGTTTACATTCACAGCAAACATAATAGGTTATTACATTTTGAGGTTCTTAATTCTTTATTATATTTTTAAGCGATGTATTTCTAATAAATAATGAAAACTCAAGATTTGGGGAGTTTGTGGGAAACATGAACTTTACGCTCCTAAAATTTGGGGATTTTAACCGTAATTTTTGGGGATTTTGAACGATTGACATTGGCAACGCTGATTGTATCGAACGATGTGACTTAATGTCCAAGGTTCACCACCTCCACCAGATCTTTAATATTCTTTACTTTATCCATTTTGCACGAACTCTTACAACGTCCAATAGAGTAAAAACCCTAATTGTAGTATTTTTTAAATAGAATCTACTGAAGACGCGCTATAACGTGTTTGTCAATAAGTACAAACACTACAGAATGTCTATAAATAAAATATATCTAGAATAAATTTAAGATCACTAGTTTTTAGAGTATTAATAGACTTTACTGGATGTGTATAGAACAATTTTACTAAAAATAATCAGTTGTTCTACAGATGAACTTAAAATAAGGACTATAAGAGTAAATCTTAAGAGAGATTACACTTAATTAAGTTGTTTGGTATTAAGAAGGTGTTAACATGTTGACTTGAGTGAAATAAGTCTATAAGAACAATTTATTTTATTTAAAACTATTTATAGAGAACTATTATCTAAATCAATACCATATTAAGACTGTTTGTAGATATAACAGTTTTGAGGCGTATAAAGTGTTCTACTTGGGTAAGCTCTCTGTGATGTGTTCAGGAACCGCATGTTACGACTGGCGAAATGGCGGCAAATAAAAACTTTTCTCACGCATGTCATACAACCTTTTTTTCCATCCTCTAAGCATCAACCGTAGTTTTTATTTTTAATTCATAGACAAACTAGAATCGGCCCCAACTATCATATCGTTCGATATCAAGTAACGTGTGAAATTGTCAAAATTGTTTGCTATTGACATTTCATTTCGAATAAAACTTCATCTCGACTGATATTAGAATTGAGGTCCAATCAAATTGCTTTGTTTTTCAGAGATGTTCGAATTTTGAATGTAATAATAACATCGAATTCGATGTTAATAATGAAGCAATAGTAACATTTTCACAGATAAGAAATTTGTTCTAACAAAACTGTTTACCTTTACGCTGGTCATATTTTGCGGTGTTTGAACACATTATAGAGACTTTATGATATGTGTATAGATAAAATAGTTTATTAAAACAAAACTCAGTGACTTTTTATGTGCATTAAAGTGGACATAACTATACGTTTAGCAAAATTCGTACTAATTTTATATGAAATAATATACACTTAAATCAATTAATCAATCAGATAACCAAATAAAGCACTAATAATGGGTAACGAGATATAAAAATTCAACAATAATTGCCGGAAATCATTCCTACGTGGTACACTAATTATTGAACATTTATGTACTCATTCAATAACTTTTGGGAAAATTGCACATATACTTCTATTTTCAATTATCAGAAGTTGGTAAATTTACGTCCAGTATTATTACCTTTCAACTGCAAATTGTAATTTTCAGACCAAATACAATTATTTATTTAAGACCACATATTTACACAATAATATTTATTTTACAAAGAAAAGAATTAACATTCTTATTTTGTTTTCATTCATTTATTCATTCGCTCACTTACTAACTCACTCACTTATTCATACACTGTGTTTATATGAAATAGTTTTTTGTTGAAACGAACGTTTATAAAAACTAAGTTAAGTTTACACATAAAGACGTTAACTACATTTTCGTGGATACAGATCGACTTCGAGCAAGGTCATCAAATATGCAGAGGGTTTGGCAATTTTTGAAACGAGCGATCTCATGACGATCACGAACTTGAGACTCACTTTACTTTTTACTTGTAAATTAAATTGTAACTGAGTGAACGTAGAAGGCAAATAAACGTCTTCCAAGCTATATTAATAACGAGCGAAGCATAAATAGATCCCGTGATTCGAGATAAGTAATAAATTATACCGAGTTAAGTGAGTTATCGGTTGTACTTGGATCCTCCTTTAACCTTTATAAATAGTTATGGAGGCTTATGAAATATAAACGGAAGGACGACTTAGCGGTTCAGGGTCGAGACTCGAGATACAAGGCGCTTAGCTAATTCAAGGACGTTTCCTTATAAAAGTAAGCACTTATGTAAGTAGATATCATTACATACTGTTTTGTGTATGAAAAGCTTTTTTATTTTTCCTTGTACAATTGTAAGAAAATACCTCCATTTGTATGATATCTTAGTATAAAGGTGGAACTCAATTTTACCACTCATAAGTGTTCTGTATCATAATTTTTATGTTTCTCTGTTGCTTAATAGTCGCAATCTAGGACAATAATACTTAGGAATAATAATATTATGAACGTGCATTGAACGTGTGAAAAATTTGATTTTTTTAGTAAATCTATGTGGCTTATTCTTTTTTGTTTCACCATAGATTTTACACAGGTAATAAATCCAAAACAATGTCATTGTAACACGTGAATTGTGCATTTAGACGTTCGCACAATAACTTGTTGTAACAAAATACGCGACAAAAAGTACATCTCCGAATTATATCAAAGTCTCCAAATTAGCTTAAATATAATATTTTCTTTTTATTTAATCTTCTTCTTATAATGTGGATACTTCTTTGATTTTAGGAGTACATTGACTTTGAATAGTATGTGCCACCTCAACTGCGTTATTCGTTGCCGCGTAGATATCTTCCTTCATATAGCACATAAAGCACAAGAGACACAACAGCAAGTGTTGCATGGACTGTGTTGGAGCACCGCAGTCACATCGGGTTAGACTAGCATCCCTGTACCCCATTTACACATCCAGTCTTTGCCGCGACCTACCTGAGTGCGAGGTCAATTTATGGACTTCCGCATGGGCCACCGCAGATCGTAACCCGGTGGTAATTGATCTTGAGGGATGATGAAACCAGACAACCATTTATTTATTAAAAATATAGCAATTTTTTTTAAGGAAAAAACAAGACAAATACATCTCCTGGAAAGTGACGATGACATCAATATTGCAGCATGCACACCTATAATAATGTCTACTCATTTACATAGACACACACAGCTTTTTAACTTCGTATTATATATATTCGTCTTGTTAGGCGTGATTGTGCGCACGTCTAAAATTACGTGATTATTTTTTTGAAGAACCTAGTGCCATTATAATTAAAAAAAAATCACAAAATACATTATCCATCCGCCCATTCTTTCATTTACAAGTAACATGACTCGTGTGTAGCAAAAACCTTATCCAACAGTAAACGATGGCGGGACTTGAAAAAGTGTTCACAGAGTACGCAAAATTCGGCAACCCGAAAAACGATGGGAAAACCATAACACTTTCAAACGTGGACAAATGGCTTAAAGATGCAGGAATTACAGATGGAAAGAAAGTCACCACTACTGACACAGGTATTGCATTCCAGAAGCTAAAGTCCAAGGCTATAACATTCTCCCAATTCAATGAGTTCCTTGACGGTTTGTGTAAATCGAAAAGTTTGAACCTTGAAGAAGTTAAAGGCAAACTAGAGCAAAGTTCACCGAGTAAAGCTGGGACGACTGCAGCAGACGCCTCTGGTGTTGTTAACAGAATGACTGACACTACTAAATACACTGGAACTCACAAAGAAAGGTTCGACGCTGAGGGAAAAGGCAAAGGTCAGGAAGGCAGAACTGATGCAACTGACAACACGGGATATGTCAGTGGTTATAAAAATAAGGACACGTTTGATAAGAAAAAATAGAACTTTGCATCATAAAACATGAGTACGCATGTGAAACTGTAGGGACAGTTTTTCAAATTCCACTAGACAACGCAGAAACGTATTTTGTTTATACACCAGTCGCTATATATACTTTCTATATCGTTCTCTCTATCATTGAATAACTTCTGAGATCTATACATCTTTAAAAAATCTTTATATAAGTAATGAAAATAATAAATTAATTAGGTATTTCCTCAAGGCAATAGTGAGAAACACATTTTGTACAAAAAATCTGAATTCAGTTTAGTACAGTGAATCATTTGGCAAAATTCATGGTCTCCAATTTCTTCCATTCAAAGTTATCTCTCTTTATCTCGTGGCACAGTGAGAGATAAAATAATGACAAAATGGCGACCCCTGATTGGAAGTTTTGTTTCCACATTATTTGCTACTGGTAACTTTTGTCCCATCAATGTCCGTTAATCATTCAAGGACGCAGAATGAGAAAGTAAAAATGCTTTCGTTATGTTGTTGAGCACGCTATAACACGAAATGTCGTAAAAAAAATATCGCAATCAAAGAATAATTATAAAGAAAACTGATGGACTTTATTTGAGTATCTTCATTGAAGATAGATTTTTTCGCGTATAGCCCTCGTATTCATAATGGTAAACATTGTATTGAAATTGCTGTTTTGTTCACGTTATTAATTTTTCCGCCATTCATGAAATTTCCCAAGGATGTGATTACATCTACATGAAGTTTATTTGATATTGTTAAAGTTTTGTTTGCATACCAATTGTTTGCATGTTTGCGATGCTTATGATGATATTGAACATGTACCTACTTATTTTTCATATTGTTACTTTTATAAAACCTGTAATGACTTGTTTCATAATCGTAATTTCTTACCCTTGGTATGATAAAGTCACATTTATGATTAAATGTCAAAAGTGCTTTTGTCGTATGAAAGTCGTAAAAATAATTCGAAGTACATGAAATGTGAAATTCTATAACTCTCTTAATTAAACATAAAAAAATATTGACTAATTTCTTTCTCAGAATCTGTAAACCTCTCTGCTGAAATATTGTCAGTTTGCGGGTTTGACGTTAACACACTAATGCTCTGGCCACACAGATGTGGCCGCGGAAGTGTTCCGGGCGCGGGAATTTTTGTAATGTACCAGTTCATAACCCTGCCACATTGAAAAGCGCGGCGGCCGCGCGGCGAGGCATAGCGGTTCGGGGCCAAACGCCATGACAAACAGGCAGAGCGGGCGCGGTCCGCGCCCGCGGCGACCGCGAGGCGGGTGCGGGCGCAGGTGTTGTAATACATTGAGTTCTATGCAACCGTCCACACAGAGCGTAAGTGGCGGGGCGCGATCCGGGAGCGGGGTTTCAGCGGGCTTGAACGTTGTATTTTTTTACAACTGTGGAGTGTGTTTTAATTGGTTTTAATTAAGTTTCAATATGAATTCGACGGAAAAACTTATATCATTGGTGCAATCATACCCCAGTTTATTTAATACAAGTGATAGAAATTATAAAAACAGTGATTTGGGAAAAGATTTCCAAGGAGCTAACTCAAAGTCGTACATATATTTTTCATGTTTTTAATTATTATTAAAATAATTAACAAATTTTTCTCTGATTTCAATTGCATAATCAGACGATCTTTGATTTGTACGAGGAATCGGAAGTAGTTCATTGGCCTCAAGTGGTTGAGAATCGCTCTGTTGAATCGCATTGTTACCGCTCTTACTTTTAAAGTCAGGCCACACAGACGCGGTATAGCGGGAAAAGCGGTCCAGGAGCGGACCTGCGGGAAGCGAATGCGTGCCGGGGCATGCCATGCAGCAGTCCCCCGCCTATTTCGCGGCGGGACAGCGCCACGAAGGCGGTCGCTGTGACATCAAAAGCATCACGCCACACTTCATTTTCAACACAAATAAAGAAAGGACCATGTCACTGTCGGATAGTGATGAAGAAGAACTTCTTCTTTTGTTGACACTACGGAAGCAACGAAAAAGAAATTGGGTGCACGAGGTCAATGAGAAAAGATAATTATTCGGAGAATACCACCATCTATGTAAGGAATTTAAGTCTTATGAGGACCGGTTCTTCACTTATTTCCACATGAGTAGAAGCAGTTTCGAGAAGTTGCACGAAATGTTGTGGCCAAGAATTTTGAAACTGGATACAAATTGGAGACGTGTCATAGGTACCAAAGAGCGACTATGTATTTGCTTGAGGCAAGTTTATCAATTTTTACTAATGCTGCGAAAGCTTCACATTCCTAGTACTTCGCTTTGGACAGACACATACTGCTATATACTATCTAGGTTTTCTTTTTTTACAAGTCGTGGGCCTAGTGGTAAGTGACACGCCTGTCCATAACAGTTGCAGAGCTTTAAAACGCTAAGATCCGAGGGATACTGCCACTGCGCCTGTCACCCTAAGACATAAGTTGACAAGTCCCACGTACCTGTAATTTCACCAGCACCCTTACCCTTCTAAACAGAAACGCAGTAATACTGATATTACTGCTTGGCGGCAAAAAAAGGTAAGGTGGCAGCAGTGCTTCCCTAGATTAACTCTTTCACAAGGAGCTCTACTGCTACCAAAAGGTATATACTTACTTTCAAGGTTTTGAATCAAACATTTTATATAAACGGAAATTGTTTATTTAAAAACATTTAAAAAAATTCAATAATCTTAACACAATTAAATTAAAAAACTACTTTTTCTATCAGTGAGACTCACTGGGAACTTTCATTATAACAAATAATAGGTATCTAAGATTCATAGAATCAACAATAATAATTGCATTTAACTACTGTACCTACTTACTTTATTATTAACAATCTTTAGATAATTAACTTGAAACTTCTTTTTCTATCAGTCCAATTGGGCATTTTTATTTTAATAAATAATAAGTACCTATCCAAGATTTGTATAACAACAACAATTGTGTTTAACTTATGTACCTATATTTGTGCGTTATTATGAACAATCTTAACATAGTTAACTAGAAACTTCTTATTCTATCAGTCTTACTGGGCATTTTTATTTTGACAAATAATTATTTGTTGTCTAATTATGCAATTGAAATTGGTACACAATAGGGCACCTATCTAAGATTTGTGTAACAACAATTATATTTAAGTTATGTACCTATTATACATTATTATGAGCAATTTTAACATAGTTAACTTGAAACTTCTTTTTCTAGCAGTCTCACTGGGCATTTTTATTTTAACAAATAATAGGTAGCTTTCTAAGATTTATGTTACAACAATTCTATTTAACTTATGTACCTAATTACATTATTATGAGCAATTTTAACATAGTTAACTTGAAACTATTTTTCTATCAGTCTCACTGGGCGTTTTTATTTTAACAAATAATAGGTACCTATCTAAGATTTATGTAACAACAATTATTGTATTTAACTTATGTACCTACTTACATTATTATGAGCAATTTTAACATAATTAACTTGAAACTTCTTTTTCTATCAGACTCACTGGGCATTTTTATTTTAACAAATAATAGGCATCTAAGATTTGTAGAATCAACAACAGTTCTATTTAACTGTATGTACCTACTTAATTTATTATGAACAATGCATAATTGAAATTGTATTTTACTTATGTACCTATTTATACACTCGGGAGCAATGAATCCGAGTCACTAACATAATAATCAATATCTCCGAACTAACAATTCAAACTTATTCAAATAAAAAGTATTTTGTAGACCATTCAATGCTCAAATAAAAATTATGAAACTCCTTGGTTGCTATATATAACACTTTTTATTTATTTAATTAGCATTCATTGTTTCTGATATATTGGGGTTTATGTTTGTGACCCAAATTCATTGCTAGTATTACTATTCTTTGTAATAAGTCTTATTACCTTTTTTATTACCACAGCATTAATTTAGTACGATACCTTTTGGAATTACCCTATGTAGTTTAGTCTTCAACGATATTAGCTGGTATCATAATGGGAACAGCCAAGTCTTCAGGAATTAATTGTAATGAAACTGGGATACTTTCGTCACAAACTGAAACTTCAAGACTCTCTTTAAAGATATACTTTTTACCACACCGCGGTTTGGAAACTTTACACGTCTTATACAAATGGAAGGGTTTTATGAACGGTTATGTGGGAATGTATAGGATACCTGCTCTATTCTCCTTAATTTCTTAAATAAACATTTCGTCGCGAAATGTTTTTTCGTCGCAATCTTGTAGTACAAATAAATGAAAACAATATGTTTTAAAGCGTCAACTTTCATTTTCTGTAATACATTGCCACGTTTTTTTGTAACGTACACAGTCATAGCGCCGCACTAGGGACACCACACATAGACAACCGCAGATTACGTCCAAATACACGAGAAAAATAAATGTAGGCCATACAAACATTTCCCGTCCCGGAAATCGAACCCGAGACCTTTAGCGTAGCAGTCCAGCATGATAGTCGTTCGGCCACTGAGGCAGTCTTTGTAAAATTTATCAGGCAAGAACACAACTGTCGCTTTTTACATTATTCCAATTCCACGTCAATTTATTAATCTATTTATTATCTATATGCTTATAAGAGGAAGCGGTAGTCGAGCACAAAACCAGTCATAAGCCACTGCTGCCTTCCATTTTAATAATTTATTCCAAATCGATCATTCACAATATCATTAAGACGACAATATCATTGAACAATCAATATTACTAAATCGACACACTAATTACTCATTTATTTCATTAACAATTACAAAGGAATAATAACACAATTATAAAAGATGGAACGTGAATGTATTGGCAGCGAGCGGTCGAGCGGTCACTAGCGAGCGGTAGGGGTTGAACGTGCGAGAGCCGAACACCGGAGCAAAGTTAGCGGCGTGATCCGACGTCAGATACACTATGATCCCTTGAGCCGACATACATTCGAGTTTCGTAATTAATTACCTTACTCCTAAAGGGGGAGATTCTACCCACAAATACGAACAACTTTTACAACAGTTGCTCCTTTAAA